CCCCAGGTAACACTCAGCATCACGGACATCCTGAAAAGACGCAGGATACAAGAGATACAGGCGGCCGCGACCACTGTCACCCAGCCGGGACACACTTGAACAAGAAAGTCATGTTTTAATAGGAAAGACAATTATGCCTTTGCTCTTCATCATTGCTCAACCAGTGAGTTGAATTACTGTTTAACACAAAATCTGAGTTCCCATATCATTAAAACAGCATAGTATCAGATGTTATTGAAACATTTCTCTGTTCCTTTTATCAATAATGTTCAGGTTCATTTTGTAACACTTTGAGCACTTTAACTGCAGGATATGATATTAGGCTCTATGAATGTCTTTTATAATTAGCAAATTAACTAGTGCCTATTTCAGCTACTGAGGATCAGTTTGATGGTTACACTCACAGTAGATGTACTGTAAATGCCTTGTTTTGTTATTGAACTGCACAGTTGTGATTATTCCTTAATAAATGATTAGAAATTGTATATTTTAGTCCATGTGTATGAATTTCCCTTTTTAATCTGGTAGTGGAGATTTGTGTAAATATTGAGAATATCTGTTCACGGTTTTTTAAAGCTTTTAAAAAGACTGATTCAGCTGTGAATTAGTCATGTAGGACTTGATCTTTACAAAATGTACATCCTCTGAAATCGTATGCATATTTTGTTCATTTATATCTTAAATGTAAGTGTGTGCTACTATCACTTCCTTCATGACATTAAGCAACAACAGTGTGATTCTCCTGGTGGAACGGGAGCAGCTGTTCAGCCACTGAGCGTGTTCCCCTGAGAGGACGGCTCCATGCCTGCATGTTTATTTGTTAATTAATGAAAGCTGCAGTGGTGAAAACCCTTCAAGGTTTCCCTCGGGCTCCACTTCACCTGTGCTAAAACTAACCAGTGCATATACAAATGGAAGCAAAAAAAACCAAAAAGGATATGTTTCTTATAAATTATATTTTTAGAAGGTATAAAAGACATTAGGCTGGGGGAAAATAGAGTAAGTCTTTGAAAAACGTACAACAGTTGATACAAAATTTGGCAATTTCACGTTCGTAGAAAAGGAGTCTGTTCTCACACTTGGCAGATAAGTATTGTTCCTTACACCAATGTTACCAAAGATTCATGTTTTCTGGAAAATTGGGTCTACTTTCAGTCACACAGAATAGAAAATGTAACATTTTAATGCACTACGTGGATAAACTAAAAGGTTGGATCGCTGGTAATGTTGAGTTCAACGTCTAGCAGGAAATGGATATAAAATGCAGAATTAGGCTGCAATGACATTTAACCACAAAATCACCGCAGTGGGCAGACACAGCGGTCCATCGCAGGTTCAACACTATGGTTAACATGTTAAACACATTTGCACTTATTCACATTTTATTTAAAATAGCTGCTTGGTTCAAATGTGTTTTAGAAATGATGACACACACATTTGGAGAAAACACAACGTGTTGTGCTCTCCATCGACCAAAAAAGCAAACAAAACATCGACGGTGAGTAGGGACGAAAATAAATTACTTAAGGACTGCCAAACATTTACATCCATATAACTAGTGTTGGTCAGGTGTTGAGAAAGAAAGGATAACGATACACTCAGAGACATCTTTAAGTTAATTTATAAAAACGTGGTATATTAAAAAAAATAAGAGATCAGTCAACAGAGTAGTCTTTCACAGTGATGGCTGCAGCTGTCCTGAAGTCCTGGATCTGAGCTTCTGGGTTTTAGTCTCTTACATGAGCAGTGGTCTCAAACCGTTCTTCAGTCTTTTTACGGTAGTAAAAATAAATAAAGATGGCCTGAGCTCCACATTGTGCAGTTTTCAGATATACCATGCTGCGTTGTTAGTGTCCTGTGTCCAGGTCCCTCATGTACTCCTGCAGGGCCAGCAGCCGGGCATCGATGTCCGACAGCTCAGCTCCTGTATCTATGGGGTGGGAAACAGAAATGGTATTAACCTTTTTTTATAGGGTTATTGCAGAAACATTTTAAAAGGCGTGGACTAATTACCTTTGTCTTTCATTCTGTGGGTTGGAGTACTGCATAATTGCTTCCTGGTCGAAATGCCTCCTCTAGACTAGAAACCGATAAACCGCACATTAAAAAGGAGGCGCCATCATTCTGTATTCTTTGTCCGAAAAACCCAAAACGTATCAATGTATTCTAGGTGGTGGACTTAACTAACAATCATCGCCTGTTTAAGCTTTAAATATGTAGCTTTTTCCTCTGTGTGTAAAATATCCATTGTTGATAAAAACAAGGATTAAAACACACATCTTGCACTGTGTTACATGTTCCTATATTATGATGAACATAGGCACTCTATTTTGAGTCTATCCAATTTATACCAAACGGCAGGATTAAATACGCACTGGTGTCAAACGTGTTAAAATGTACAGATGAAAATGATCCCATACAAAAAGATGCATCTCACTGTTATTTAAAAAAAAATGTGTTTTAAGGAAATTAATAAAGTAAAGTAACTATTTATTTGCAACTACTTAAAAAAAATATTCAGGAAGTACATAGGGTTGGAGATATGACACCTTGGAGTCAGACAGTATTTAGAGTTGTTGATTTGGTCTTTTTTGGGGATTTGTTGACAGTATATATATATATATACTGTACACACCATAGTTTACATACAAATGATAGCGCAGCAATAACAGTTAACTAGAGGTACATTTATAACCAGGCCACTCACCACACTGGGTCCGTTGTAGGTCTGTTTTCTTCCTCTGCAAACATAGAAAAACAGACATTTAAATACCCAGTTAAAACAACAGATCATTTACAGAAGCTATCCAGATTTAATGCCTTCACCTGAACAGATTTTTGGACATTTCTTCCATATCCACTAAGGAGCTTTCAGAGGAGTTCCTGCTCCCTCTCCGCTCTATGGATAAGCTCCTGCCTCTGCTGCCGGCCCGGGCCATGTGAGGATAGGCGTCCCTGGAGCGTGAACGCCCCCTCTCTGGGACGCTGGGTGAGATGAGAATGTCCCTCCGTACCTTCCTCTGTCTGAAACAAAACACGGGGTTACAATAGCTTTTCTGAGCAAATGTAAGGGTGTCAAATATGCAAAACAAATGTTTGACACCAACTTTTTGAGGTCAGCGTCTTTCTGTCTGCGCTGTCGGTCCTGAATGTAAGCAGTTGGGTCAAAGCGTTGAACCTGGGACCCTGTAAGAGAAAAAGGAAGAACAAATCAGGACAAAGATCAGAAATTTGATTCAACCTTTTTTAAATATAAAAAGCAAAGCAACTTCCTGAGCACAGCCAGCACCTGTGGGAGAAGCTGATGGCCTGCGTATGGAAGCACGTGGTCCCGAAGAGTCCGCTCTCCTTCCCCTCTCCTCCGACCTTTGCCCTCTGTCCTCCATCCGCTCTCTGGATCCCGAGCGAGCCCTCATTGTCCCGTACCCCGACCTCCTCTCGCGGGACAGAGAGCGATAGGCTTCCCCATCCCCTCGAGAGCTGATGTGACCAGGAGTCACTCTTCTGCAGACACACAAAGAGGGTGTGTGCTACGTTAGCAGGTCATTTATATTCACGTATACTCTACATTGTAAGTGAATGAATAGAAGAGAGAGGGAAAGTAAAGATATAGTACACGCTTAGAATGTCTAACCCTCTCCGTAGTAACGCCAGTTCACTGCTGAGACTCTTGACCCGAACACGGAGAGCGCACTCTGATGCTCTCAGACCCTCAAACTAGCCAAGACAGGGAATAAAAACATGTTAGTCACAAAAGGAAACAAAATAAATTATTTTTGACTATTTTAAGCAGAAGAGGTCCACCTGCTCCATGAGGAGTTGCTGGTCCTGGCATCTCTTGCTGGCTGAGCGCTGACCTTTGGCCCTCTCCTTCAGGAGCTGCTCCTCCAGATGCCTCACCACGTCTCGCCCCCTCCTGTCCTCTCGTCCCGCCACCGAACCACCTCCACTGATCTGCAGTCGCTCCATCACATTACCCATGGCCTCCTTCTCTTCTTTCACCAGAGCCAGCCTTGGAAACAGTAGCAGACAGTTAAAAAAAGAAAAAGTCCCACATCCCTTTATATTTGACACCAAGATGGAAAGCCACCTACTCTGCTCGTAGCTGCTGGATTTCTTGTTGTGCAGCTTTGTTGATTCCATGAGAGGAGACAGTGTTGAGCTCAGCTTTCAGAGCTCTGACTTCCTTCTGCAGGGCGGCGGGGTCAGGCTTACCCACATAGGGCAGGGGTAACGGGTAGTGTATCCTACAAGCACAAACAAGTCAGTAAATCATGAGTTCTATGCACAACATATTGAAAAGTAAAAATGTGTAGGTCACCAACTAAATAATGTTTAACATGTGATGTGTATGAGACACAAACCTGTCAAACTCCACAGTGTATATGAGGATGAGATATCTTTTGGCAGTGAGAGCAGAGGACTGTTGATTTCCGCGAGGACGACTAACCACTCCGGCTTTTCTGTTACGGAGCAGCTCCAGGTCGGCGTAGGTCAAGAGGTCAAGTGTAACAGAATCACTCATCTGCAGAAAAAACTCAAGTTAACCATGCACATTAAATAAAACAGACCTTTTCCACCTGGACTAGTATTACCTGGGGACATCCAGTCATTTATATTAATGGCAGAGGTTGACCTGAATCGGCCACAGCAAATTACCAATCATACTCCCCCAAATGTCATGTGACAAGTACTGTGTAAGTAAATATCAGGGTTCCCACGCTTGCCTTGACATTTTTTTCCATGCTACCTCCTGATTTTCCAGGTACCATATTAAGTGATGATCTATAGGCCCCTGAAGCTTTCCGCCCCCATCCGCGCCCCC